TGATGGCCTGAAGTGCCATGGGCCCACCAGGCTTAAAATAATTCACTGTCCCCTTAAGCAGTTTCTGCAGCTTGTTGCTGGGGACTCCATACAGCTGCCTTCCATCTCCGACGCTTCCAAAGCACTGGAGGGGCCCAGTGGACTAGATACTTGCCCATACTGTCCCACACACCCTGCCACTCATGACTGTCCAGCCTTGGAGAAAACCTCTTGGTCCCCCCATATCGTCGTCTAACCCCAGACAAGACCCAAACCTGACTCTGCTTAACTTTTGAGATCAGACAAAATGGTTGTGGGTAGAACACAGCCTGTGTGTGTGCCAACATGCTGATCCCCATCACGATCAGCAGGCAGGTCCCAAGGACACCCAAAGGCCATTCAAAACCTTCAGAACTCTCACACGATGCTGCTGTACTGGTCACTGGGGCTGGTGTAGCTGCTGTGCTTGTCACTGGGGCTGGTGCAGCTGCTGTGCTTGCCGGCTCTCCCACCGCCAGCTTCTCTTTTCCTGAGTCCAGCTCTTCCTCCTCTGCCTTGCTGGGAAATGCTGCGTGGTCTCCTGCATCCTCCTGGGGCTCGGCGGGCGGCTTCCGGGGAATGCTCTCGGCCGTCGCGGGGCTGGGCTCTGCCGCGGGGCTCGGCTCCTCCGCCGCCTTCTCCCGCTGCTCGGCAGCCCCTTCCTTCTGTTCCTCGACCGCCCCGACCTCCTCCACCTGCAGCCGTCCCCTCGCGGCCTCCGGCCCCGCTCCCGCCGCCGCTTGGTCCCCGGGGCCGCTCTCCCGGGCCGGTTCGGCTGCCGCCGGCTCCCGGGGCCGCTCCCCCTCGGCTCCCCGCAGCCTCACGAAGATGGAGAGCAGGGTGAGGGCCAGGGCGGTGAAGAGCAGCCGGACGGCCAGGTACAAGTCCACGGCCACGTCCGTCCCGCCCTGCTGCTGGAGCCCACCCGTGTTACAAGCCATTGCCATAAAGCACAGTGAGACAAGAACCTTAGCCCAAGCCCCATACTTGATAAACACTATCACAGCAAATACCGGCTCTACGTAAGTTACAACGGTCTGAAGCTGTGAGATCAAGCGAAACAACTCTGAGACCCAATAAATCGTCATTGTGATGAGTGACTATTAATCCGGTCAGATCTGTCGTTATCTCAACCCTTCGTGCCCCACGTTGGGCGCCAAAAAGAACTGTCGTGGTTTAAACCCGGTCAGGTAACTCGTTCGCTCACTTCCCCCCCTTTTCTTGCCCTCCCCCTGCTCTCGGAGGGACGGAGAGGAGAATCAAAAAGAATGCAACTCCCACGGGTTGAGATAAGAACAGTTTAGTAACTAAGGTATAACACAAATCACTACTGCTACCACCAATGATAATAATGATAAAGGAAATAACAAGGGAAGAGAATACATCATCTCACCACCAGCCGACCGATAACTCGCCCCCCCAGCCCAACCAAGCTCTGACCGATACCTCCTCCAACCCTGCAGACTCCCAGCCCTTCCGGCTAACTCCCAGTTACATCCTGGGCATGACGTGCTGTGGTATGGAATACCTCTTTGGTCAGTTTGGGTCAGGTGTCCTGTCTCTGCTTCCTCCTGGCTTCCCCTCCTCCCTGGCAGAGCATGAGGCTCACAAAGTCCTTGGCCAAACCAAAACATCGCTTGTTATCAGCTCCGTTCCCGAGCTGAAAGTCAAAACATTGCACTGCACCAGCTACCAAGAAGGGGAAAAATGACTGCTACTGCTGAACCCAGGACAAGCTCTAATAACACTGTTACTGCTTTTGAGTACAAGAGCAGGTGAAAAGTTGCCATGAGAACTGATTCAGCTGAGTGTGCTGCAGCTCAGCACTACTAACTTCTCTATTATAATGATAATTGCATTCATTGATTACTGGGTGTAGATTTACCAAAGTGAAGGACTGGCACTCCCTGTTAACTCTGTCTGATGCTGTACATGCTGTGTGTCATTTCAAGGGAGCAAGCACCTCATGACAGTCTCGCTCACCCTCCACCTCCTTCCAGCCACCTTGCAATTCGCTCTCTCCAAGGTGGATGCTAACGCCAAATCAACAGAGCCATGTAAGGCACCATGCAAACATGATGCTCTATATAGCATGAGGAATAATTTACCAGCATCACCCCAATTTTAATTCTTCATGCTAATCACCAACACACTGAATTTGTTTAACCTTCTCGTCTTTAAGAGATCGCAGGTTCCCTTTTTTTCTTTAATATTGAGGCATTTTACAGTGACTTAGGCCAGTACTGAGGATCTTCTACCGAGTAGTTTCTGAATTTTATTACACTTCTGTTTTCATCTGCCCCTACCCATTTTTTTTTAATTTGTTATATCCAGCTCCAGTAAATGGTCCACTTGGTAGTGACAAATGAATTAATGTCTAAGTAATCTTTCCTATTTCTCTAGAACAGCTAAACCTCTCATTTAAGAGGGATAAATATAGGTACAAATCGCACCTCATTATTTTCAAATTCTGTCTTGTGACTTAATGCCATATTGGTTACTTGTTGCCTTAGCAACACCATTAAAACGATATTTTAAAAAGGAAAAGACAGTCTATTTTCTCTTAAGTAATGAGCTGAACAGCCCTTCTCTGCTGCCCTGTTCTTATTTTCAGTGAAACATTTGCTTTCTTTGAAATAAGAAAATTATGTTTTGCACATTTCCCTTTTCTCGACAAAGCAACTGCTGAAGAATGTGCACCTTTGATGTAATTTGGCTTTCAGATGATCAGCTGAGAAGAACTGTCATTCTTTTCCTTTGCATGGTTCTGTTAATGTCATCATGTAGGTGTGGCCTGATGTAAAAGGTGCATATGTTACAGGGAGCGTGGTCTGGAAGCACAGTTCTACCTCCTCTCAGTTGTGTGCTGTGTGGTACAACCTGCCTCTCTCTCTCGTCTGCCCTCATAAGCAGCATTGGCAGGGCATAACTTGGAGTGCTTTCCTGGGCTTCACTGCGTTTTATGTGACTTTGCTCCTACTCATGGTCAACAGATCAATATCTTGTGACTGAAGATCTAAGCCATGAAATTTGAAATCCAGAGTCTTGCAGTGCTGGGCTTTTCCCAGGATGTGCTGGGCACTGCAGGATATGTTACAGTACCAAGATACAGGGGAGCAGGGCTTGGCTCCATAACATCATAGAGAGCTGAGCACTGTGTCTTGCCTTTTTACCAATGTGAGGATAAATCAGAAAAAGAGCTCTGAAGTCACCTTTGCACTGTGGAAGGCCTTTATGCGTTTAATAATTCCCTTTTTTTCTGAACACGAAAGCTGTGTGATTAAAATTTACACTCTGGAAATTATTTGCAGCTGCAACTAACTAACTTAGTTTTCTGGCACAGTCGGTATAAAAACACCCTTTCAGAGAACAGTTCAGTATTTCTCTTAGTGCTCCAAGAACTGGTCTCTCTCTCCATTGCCTAAACACAAAGCCTACGAATACTATTTTGCTAATATCAGCACTTCAGTTAGGAAACTGAAATGATGCTGTGGGATCATTGCAGATTGGTGTGGTGAAATGCTGTTGTCTCTTTGCAGAGTGAAAATTGCCATAGTGGAAGGCTGTTGTGTGTCTTCATAAAGCAGATACGGGGAAAAAAGCACTTGATTTATCAGATCTGCTCCCTGTGCATATTCAGAAGGAAGTCTGTTAAATAAAAGACTTAATGGGACTTTTACTGGTTTATTCCTGGGATCACTGCACAGCCAAGTAGGCAGAAAGTAGCCTGTTCTGTCTCTGTACTAGCCACAAACAGCTAGTCACTTAAAGTCCAGATTGGCTATAATGCATAACTCAACACAAAGATGCCAGTGAGAGTATAATCTGAACATGAGGTGTTATATTAATGAGTGCCTGGTCTTTATTAGTAAAGCATTTAATCCTGCTAAACGGTGCATGTAAGGCAGAGGACCAGATTAATTTTAGATCCCAGTTGAGCTTGGAAGGCTGAACTGAGCTGGTCTGATGAACAGCTGATAAACATGGACAATCACAATGTCGTTTTAACAGGATCAGTATGAAAATGAATAGTTATTTTCCTTGAATGGCTGCTCACATCTTATCATCAACAATACAACTTCAGTTTTATTTTTTGTTTTATGTACCACAGTCTAGAGTGCACGCTTTGAAAGAGAAGCTATACGAATAAATTCGTAACATTAGCGCGATGCAGTATGTCATTAAAAAGATAAGTAACAAGGTTTGGGAATAATGTGAACAGCTTGACTCTTCCCTGACTATTACTTAAGAACTTGAAATGTGAGGTGTGTTAGAGTTAATGAAAACCATGCTACCTGAAATAATGACATAAGGGCTCTTTTTATCAGCACAGTAAAAGCAGAAAATACATACCACCCATTGCCTGATCTCACATCACAATATTTTGATTGCTATTAATAGTAACATGCCTCAGTAATCTTGAGGAATCTGGTACTTCATTCCTGCTCCCACTGCATTTGGTGGCAGAACTAAACCTTCCATAGATTTCAGCAGGTACAAAATGCAGCCTTTAAACAGTGAACTTGGAAACAAGGATGTGGTTATTTACTGAGCTGTCTGTGTGATCACAGTGGTAAAGCCCCTTGGTCCTTAGTCAAATTTCTTATCCCCATTATTGTAATTAGACCTACTTGAGAAACAAAGTTTTGGTATTTATATTCAGAAATTAAGAATTTCTGTGTGGAAGAAGGGGGAAGGGAACAGTTTTTGTATGCAGCACTCATGCACTCACATATAACGTGGGAGTTTCAGCTAAGCCTCTGGGCTAGCAGCTGGAAGGGTGTACTTGGTAGGTGTAAAGCTCTCTTCTAGCAGATCTAAAGGGATTATATTCTCAACATTTCTTACATTACAGTTTTGGCTGATGCTGGTACCTCCTCTCTACCTATTGTGTTCACACATTTTATCCTTCACAGTAGGAGTTGACTGCTGCTTTCAATGCTCTGCTGACTTTCTTTCTCATCTCCTCCATGCTTTTTCAGACCTGCAGCTCCCAGTTGTCACCCCAGAGTGTTTCGGCCAGCCTGGGATGTCATGGGCCAGCACCGCAAGCAACGTGTCCCAGGGGAGCAAAAGCACTGACAAGATACATGGTTCTCATCCAAGGTACTAATAGAAGCAGAGCAGGGGGGCACAGCTATAAGCTAATGATACCCCACCTGCAGAAACCATGAGTGCTGTGTCCTGCAGTTGTCTGGGAGTCAGGGACGCAGAATGTAGCAATAGAGGAGACCACAGCAGGCGGATGTATTGCATAGCCTATACTTGCATAATGTTTGTTTCTGTACTAGCCAAGCTTGCACGTTTTGTGTGTTAACAGCTAAGTGTGAAGGGCATTGAAACAGGCTAGGCAGATAAATACAGACTCAGAGACACCCCTGAATGTTTAGGTCTCATGGTGGCTGAGCTGTTTCCCGCTCCCATTCTTGCCTTGCCCCCATGACAGACATACAAATGTAGTCCTTTGCACAGAGACCCTTTCAATGAAGTACCAAGATGTTACTGGTTGGAGAACTGGCTGTCCATGTGCGGTTTCCTATGTTACAGTATCTCTCAAATTTTATGCTCTGAGAACCTACCATTCTGCCGAGGGGAGAGAAAGGTCTCTTTAAGATGATTATTATTAAACTTCCTTAACAGAAGATTACACAGAAATGGGAAAGGAGACCTGTCTTTTACCAGGAATCAGTCTCAGAGATCCATAATTTCTATAGTCATCTCCTCATTGCATTTGCTTTGCGTAGACTAATACTTGAAGATTTTAACAGTCAGAATAATAACCACATTTGTGAATAGGCCTAAATATAGCTCAGATTTCCTCCAGTAACAAGCATAGCTGATTCCTTTTGTGTGGACTATGGGAGCTTGTAGACCAGTATCTGGAGAGCCACGTCGCTTCCAAGACACAGTTAGCTTTCACAATTGTTTTATGATTAGCTGATTTATTATGGGGTTATTCCTTGGTGTCATAGTCTTTCATAATATTTGGAATCATAGTTTGTGGCTTTCATTAGGGAAAACATGTAGTACTGCATATTTCTGTCTCTTTATTACATTGAAGATAGTGCTAACAATAGTGCAATCTTTCTGTAGTTTTCTTTCTTTTTCTTTTTTCTTTTTTTTTCTGAATTTGCTGTAAATCAGTTTTAAACCTGTTTTAAATGCACTTCTGTTGTTTAAGCTGCTTGGATTTCTTTAATGTTTTTACCTTCACTCTGAATGTCCCAGGTTGTCTTGCAACAATTCCAATACGCCCGCAATGCATTTATCCCTATATACTCTCAAATGTAACTCCCTCCTAACATAGTTATTTTCTATGTATGGAAAATAGGATTTAAAAATACTAAAAGCAATACAAAGACTTGATGTAATGATTTGTTTCAGCCTGCTTGGTTTTATCTGCTGTATTGCTTAACTTGGAGGAAAAAAGGTTAATTTCCTATTTCTGATAATTTCACTATTTCATCGAATTCTTATAGTTCATTTTCCTCATTTGCAAAAGCACTTCATTAATGCTGTGCATTTTTATTACTTTCCAGGAATCATGTGTCAGGTTCACCCTACCACAAGGACATCCTTAAAGCTCAAGACCTTTCTGTCATCATCAAAGCATATGTGCTTGTGACATCTTTAACACCTCTGAGAGCATTCATTCATTCAACCACCACTGTCTGGCATCCACCCAAGAAGAAGCATTTTTCTGTAAAGGTAAAACATTTCATTTCCCATTTTTTCCAACTTTCAGGCAAATTACTGAGACAGAAAACCAGATAATACCTTTATTTTCTTTTACTCCCTCTTTATTTGCAGTCCACAGCTGATAGTGAATATTCTACTTGTATGCAGCTTTCATTTCTCAGAGTGAGCAGGGTTTGCTTCATGAAGAGCTGGGAAGGGCAGGGAAGAGTTTCCTGGGCAGTGGGGGCATGGTATTTGCTTGCCTCAGACCCCATTTTTATTGGTGACATTTGACAGCAGTTGCAAGGCTGGAGTTTTCTCTAAAGCACAGCAGTGGGGGTCCTGTCATGCAGTAACATTTTTTTCCCGGATATTGACAGTGTTGTAAAAAAGGAAAGTAAATATTTTAAGTAGTTTGTTTGGATTTTCTTTTTTAGGTGTAGTAAAACAGAATGAAGGAGGGTCAGGGTACTTCTAAATAAGGGGAAGGAAGTATTCAATGGAGAGGGTAGGCCTCCTGTGGTCTCAGTTTTATGAAGAAGGATGTTTCACATGGATTAACTCTGGACATCTTCACGTGCCTGGAGAGACACCCTCTCTCTCCACATCTAGTTTGCTCAGCAGTTCTATGGATTTCCAAGCATGCCTTCCCATTCCTTTGGTCCTTTAGCAAGAACTGTGCTTGCAACACAGCAATTCTTGAAGGAGCTATGGTTATGCAGCTGCTCCTTTCCTTTTGAAGGAATAAGGTCACAAAGTGGCAGTGATTTCTTGATGTTGCATAGATCAGCTCCTTCAGCAGCCACCTGAGGATGGGTGCACCTTGCCTGTGTAGCCCTCTTTGGGGTAGGAGCAGGTCTAGGCTTTGGATCAGTGTGAGTGTTGAGGTGTCACAGTCAGGACTCTCGATGGTGCCAGCCATTTGGTATGTTCTACAATTTTAGCTCTCTCAAAGTTAAGTGCCTAGTGTAAGCTCATTATCTAATTCTAGTTATTGGAGAAGAAGACATTCCTAGTGAGCAAATCATCCCACCCCATTTAGACACTAATTTTGGAATGAAATGAGTTTCCTGCTAAGAGTGACTGCTTCCTTTTGTGGGTTATGACATTCTTAGAGAACATACCAAATTCTAGATTGCCAAAATGAGGTGAGATGAACTTACTTCTTTTTCTTCCCCCCCTCAGAATCTATGGAAGCCCATGGAGATAGTCATTTATTTTCTTAAGATTAATGGTCACTCACTTTCAAAACTTGGAGTTCAGTTTTGTTTTATGTTTATTAAAATGGCACAATGTCCAGCAGCTTCACCATTGCTGCTGAAGAAGGGACTACTTTAAAGGCTAGTAGTCATTAGTAACTGTGATATGACTCTGTGAAATAATCCCCACTGAGTGAAGTCTGCTGAATGGGGCACCAGCCACCATTTATAGAGCACTTTGGCAGCTGAAGCAGCAATAAAAGTGATAGATAGAAAGAGCAGCACATCTGCAGGAGTTCCAATCTGGTTACTGCTGCTGTGGTGTTATATATTCCACAGCTTTACGCAGACTTGTCAAAATGGCAAGAAATAAACAAAAAGTAGGCACCACAGAAAGCACATTTGGAGTGATGTATAGATTGAAATGAAGATTAACAAAATGATGGAAAGTGGGGTGCATAAGGCTGTCTCTCAGCATGAACAGTGTGCCCTGTAAAGAACATGGGAGGAGTCAGGGAATCTTCTGGAGAAGTGGGACACTGAGAATTCATGGAGTGGCCAGGAAGCACTACTGGGAAAATCATAAAGAAGCCTCTGTGCTTGGTGCAGAGGCATCAGGCAGACCATCAGTCAGCAAACAGTACTTGAAAGAAGGCTTGATTTCAACCACTGATGTCCTTTGGGATGAGATTACATCAAGTTTCTCATCAACTTCATGTAGCTGTCACTTGTTGCCAGTGGCATTTACAGTGCCAGCAGGGTGATCTCCTCTCCCACAGTAGCCAGTGGAGATACGTACTTTTGTACCAGCTGAGGAACCTGGTCCTAAAAAACTCAAACTACTAAGAGCTTTCAGTTTCTGCCAGCAATATTGTGCAGGAAGGAAAACTGTTTGTTATGTTGTCAAGCTCCAACCTGTCAATAGTCAGTAAAGACAGAAAGTGTCTCTAAAGACCTGTTCTTCCACTGACTGACAGAATACCCATTGATGTCACTGGGGACTGAACACGCCTATAAAGGAGACTTTGGTCTGGAAAGATTTGCTAGTGTTCAACATGTTTTTCCCCAAAAGCAGCTGACTGTATTCTTCTTTTTAAATGAACATATGAGAATAATTTTAATCTGCTGCATTGCAATCATGGATGTGCTGCTTTCAGTAATATTGCACAATAATTTGGGACCTCCTCAGTGTATATAGGTTTCTAGTCAGCAAATTTTCTTACCGGTATAATTAAACTATAAGAAACTCATCCCCAGTTGTGGTTAACTTGGTTATAACATGACTATCACAAACTTATTATATTAAGTTTAAGTTTAATTTGATCCCATATATACAACAATCCTTTAGAGTTGCTAGAAATAACCAGAATGTGGTATATATGAAAGAGAAACTTTTAAGAAGACTGGAGATGGGGTACCAGATGATTTCAAATTATTAAGAGAAGCTGTGTAAAGAAAAAACAGGAGTTTAATGAATTAAATAACATTGCCTTCTCCGCTGCTTCCCTGTTAGTAAATTATTGTAAATGGTTTTTACAACTCGTATTTACTTGTCCTAATCATAGTGGCAAGGCTTCAGAATGACGCCTTCAATAAGCATTGGCCAAATGGCAGTTCAGGAAGAGTTCAAGTGTGTTTTGCTCACCAGCTGCCAGGTTTTCTCTGGATTATACATATTTTAGTATCTCAGTTCAGAAAGCAAAAAAAAAGGAATATTCTGAGCTGGCATGAGGATTTTGTGTGTAGTCAAGGGGTAGCAAAAATGCATCTCTAGATTTATGCCCTGGATGAAAAGATGCAAGAGGTACAGGGGAGAGAATGGCTTTCTGCCACATGAATGTTTTGAAGTGAGACTTGCGTAATAGCCTTATTTCCTTGAGGAAATTTGGAAACCCTTTATTTAGACCATCTGTGCTTTGAGAAATTAATAATGAAATGGAAGCTTTCTATTTTGCATAAGGTACCATTAAAGGGTGGGTCTCTGTCAACATATGCAATAATTCCATTTGTATTAATCGGCATTATGCATGTCTATTGAGCAGAAGACTGACCCTGCAATAATTTTCTGTTTTATAGAAGCTGGTGTGCAAAACAGTCATTTATGGTTAAGTATCTCAAGGTTTAACGCACTGTGAAGTGTTCCTTTTGCCCTGCTATTAACCTTTCACAACCTGGTCCCAGTTCTTAATGAAGAGACGCACTTTTGTCACCTCGGAAGGTTCTGTGCTGTTGGCCACTACCCACAGCCCCTGCTCTGTTTCACTGTCCCCTTACTCATCCAAAATAGTCAGGTACCTCCTGGATTTGAATTCTTTGACTGCTGCTCTTGCACGATCCTCGATATGCTCAGCTGAAACTGTGCTTTTAAGTGATTTTCCAGCTGTGCAGTGAAGTAAACTTAATTTATTAAAGCAGTTTGCTGTTAAGCTTGCTGTGATATAAGTCACTATAACTACCGCTGAAATTCTCTCACTGTGTATTAAGCATTTGGAAACTTGAGTAAAGAGAAATATATTTTTTTACTTAACATATATGCAAATAAAACGGACCCTCACCTATCCAGGCAATACGTCTTTTACTATGTTGTGCAGTTCTGGCTGAGAGCCGAACACTGTGACAATTCAGTTGCAGTATTGCCCTCAAGTGGCCAGTTTTGATACTACTTCAAGTAATAGCCACGGACATCAGGATGCAAACGTAGGGTCATAGAATCAGCTAGGTTGAAAAAGACATGCCGATAAAGAGCAAAATGCTTAGAAACAGCAGAAAGGCTCAGGATTTTTTCCCTTTATTTTCTCTTTGAATTGCATATGCTTGCCCTGCTACTTAGCAGGAGCAAATAAAGAAAATTGGCATCAACTCTTAATCCATTAAATTACAAGGTTATTTAGGAATAAAATTAAATTTGTTCTTTAAATTCTGTAAGAACTTAGCATACACATTTCACTTTTGTTGCAAGTAGCAAGAATCGATACTACAATGCTCGTCTCCTGAGCATAACGAAAATACTATCTCTGCTTTCTGCCTTTACAGTGTCTAGAGCTCTATCATTTCTCGTTTCACTGACATAAGAACAAAAGTCTGTCTGGACTGGGGGAGATCAAAGACATGCTTAGTCTAGCATTCTGTTTCTGGCAAAAGCTGGGCAAGAAAGCATCATGAATCTGTGTAACAGGACAAGCATAAAGTGTGAGTCCCTAGGCAGACTAGAGATATTTCTGGTAACCCACAAGGTTAGGAAGACAAAACTGGAAGTAGAATATATATATTTATGTTTAATAAGCTACAGTGGACTTTTATGCCATGCAATTCTTTAGTAGAATTTTTAACCCATTAATGCTTTTGTTATTCCCAATATCTTGCAGCCATGAGATGCCACAGATCATGTGTTGCTCAAGAAAGAATATTTGTTTTAAAATTTGACCTGATTACTTAATTTCATATCCTTAAATCTTTTCTTAAGAGAAAATAATGAATAATCCTTACTTCTTGACCTTTCCCATGTCCATGCCAATCTGTCATGCAGTGCCTAAATCAAGGTGAAATTCTTCCTAGCATTCTTTTCTGGTCTTGTCACTACGAACATCCGAGTTTAGATAGTAAGAGCTCTAGGCTGATTATTTTTTATAATGTGGATATGTCATAAGGAAGTCTTTACACTATTACTACCTAGGCCCTTAGCTCTCTGCTTTTCTCCTGGTCCATATATCCTCTTGCTCTGGCTGTACAATCCAGCCAGCTCTGTAAACACACCCATCTGTGGATCCCAGCTTTCTCAGACCCACCTCCCATTATCCTGATTCTTCTCATCTTTCCCTTTTTGCTTTCTAG